ATGGCACGTAAAGATGAGGGGGTTTCGGAATGGTTGCTGCATACTGGAAGGGATCGTAAGTTGGGCTGTCGATAGGAAGTTAGGGCGGGTGCTTTAGAAATAACTGTAGAGTCTTCGAGGTGGGAAGTGGCTTCCATGATTAGTTTGCCGAGCCTGGGTATGGGGGGATGGAACGTGAAGATGAGGGGGTTTTGGAGTGGTTGCTGCATACTGGAAGGGATCGTAAGTTGTGCTTCGATAGGACGTTAGGGCGGGTGCTTTAGAGATAACTGTAGAGTCTTCGAGGTGGAAAGTGGTTTCCATGACTAGTTTGCCAAGCCTGGGTATGGAGGGATGGCACGTAAAGATGAGGGGGTTTCGGAATGGTTGCTGCATACTGGAAGGGATCGTAAGTTGGGCTGTCGATAGGAAGTTAGGGCGGGTGCTTTAGAAATAACTGTAGAGTCTTCGAGGTGGGAAGTGGCTTCCATGATTAGTTTGCCGAGCCTGGGTATGGGGGGATGGAACGTGAAGATGAGGGGGTTTCGGAGTGGTTGATGCATACTGGAAGGGATCGTAAGTTGTGCTTCGATAGGACGTTAGGGCGGGTGCTTTAGAGATAACTGTAGAGTCTTCGAGGTGGAAAGTGGTTTCCATGATTAGTTTGCCAAGCCTGGGTATGGAGGGATGGCATGTAAAGATGAGGGGGTTTCAGAGTGGTTGCTGCATACTGGAAGGGATCGTAAGTTGGGCTGTCGATAGGAAGTTAGGGCGGGTGCTTTAGAAATAACTGTAGAGTCTTCGAGGTGGGAAGTGGTTTCCATGATTAGTTTGCCGAGCCTGGGTATGGGGGGATGGAACGTGAAGATGAGGGGGTTTCGGAGTGGTTGCTGCATACTGGAAGGGATCGTAAGTTGTGCTTCGATAGGACGTTAGGGCGGGTGCTTTAGAGATAACTGTAGAGTCTACCAGGTGGAAAGTGGTCTCGATGATTAGTCTGCTGAGCCTGGGTATGGAGGGATGGAACGTGATGATGAGGGTGTTGCATGGTGGTTTAGATCTTGGTTGGGGAAATAGAGCGTTGTGTCGCGAAATGTTAGAGATGCGACTGCTCACATTGCACAGAATGCTGAGTGGGTAGCTACTTTCAATAAAGAAGGCGGTCATCGTCTTAAAGGGGCACTCAGGTGGATTCCGAGATCGTCTATTTTATGTCATAACTCAATCTATGGACTCTAAGCATCCTAAGAAACCCGAAATTACATACAAGGGCGGTCAATCTCGCTATTTAAAATTCTATTAAAAATTGCGGCATGCCCTCCTTTCTGCGCTGTGGCGCAGAACGCCAGAGGGTGCCATCGGACGGGAAGGCAACAGGGGAGGGCACATGACAGCCCATTACGAATAATGGCTTCCCGGCACACTAAATTTTCAAACATGTGCGCCTTTGAAAAATCAGTCCGCCGAGAAGCCGTCACTTGTGACTGGCTGTCGCGTGCCCTCCCATGCTGCCTTCCCGTCCGGTGGCACCCCCTGGTGTTCTGCGCTACGACACAGGAAAGGTGGCGTGCCAGAATCTTTAATTGGATTTTTACTATGAAAATCGGCTGCCCTTGAATGCTACCTTGGGTTTTTTAGAATGCTTAAAGCCCATAGATTGAGTTATGCCAATAAATAGACGATCTCAGAATCCACTTGAGTGCCCCTTTAAGCTGTTGACGGAAATCAACGTCGTTGCTGCAAATCCTACAAAGGCAAAGGATCTGCAGAACGCCTTTTTGAGCTCCAGCACTGGTTTGCCCAGGGGACGATGCTGCACCCTTTTGTCCAGGACACCACACACCAGACGGTCCCATAGCATGGCTGACAAGGTCTCACCAAAGTTGCAGTGTTCGGAGAAGCGGCGTGGGGCGGGGACGAAATTCGAGATGCTTTCTCCAGGCTGTTGGCTGCACTTATGAAACGCAAAGCACTGAACAATCACTGACAGGCACGGTGTGAAGTGGGCGGTGAGCTCCAACACAATGTCCGCATAGGGAGTCCACTGGCACACACAACGAGCATACGACAGAGTAGATTGTCGGTCCACAAAGGCTACACGGGACTGCGCATATTGGGGACTCCTCGACGATGTTGAGCACAATGAAGAAAACGTTTAGTCGCTCCTGGTACAGGGGCCATGTTTCAATCTTTTTGGGTCGAACTCTTCGAGATGTCTCGGCCGCCCTTTGATGACAACGTTAGGCTCGTCTTTTTTCGCCATATGCTCTCGTCGTTGCCAAGTTGCCACGAAGCTGTCGTTGCTCAAAAAAGTGTGGTTGCGTGCCTCGGAGTTTGAATTTCTTCATTCTCGTTGTTGCCCAAAGCTTTATTCAGGCGGCCGACTTGGCCGTGCAGAAAAGAGGAGTTAGACAAGAGACACGTGGTTTACGACGAGTTCCCAGAATGACAAACGGTTCGGTAAAACCAGCTTGACTCGCCTTGGCTTGACTTCTGCCAACTCGCCGATGATGCCAGATGCACACACAACACTCACGAGGCAAGATTCCGTTTCATTTTAAGTGCAAGATCCAGGCTTTCAATGTCGCTACCAAGCATGCACGATCATGTAGTGTTAGCATAGTTCAGGGCAACATGCTCATGCTCATAGCTTCAGCTTCACTTGCGCATGAAGTAAATGAAACCATAGCCCCTGTATCCACTCTAATTCTCCAAGTCAGTAGTAGGCTGAAATTTATCCATCACTACAAGAAATTGGGAATGATGCTGAGAAGTCTGGGAGGGTCGTCGCATGTACGGAATTGACTGATCGACGTGCCGTTCCCTGCAAGATGATGTCCTGGGTTGGGCAAGGTTCGAGCATGTTGGATGCTATCAGGAACACGTGGTTACACAGGATCTGTGGGGACACGGCGGTCCCATTGACTGTGGCCATATGTGCCTGGGGCGTCACTGCTTCCCGAGTGCTAGCCAGTGCCAACCTCTGGAAGATGGTCACGAAACTGCCTCAGCATCCCAACATTGAGATACTGGAACTGGTAGCAGTGGTCTAGGAGAGCCAGAGGAATCACTGTAGTTGGATAGAAACATTGCAACAGATGCATCAGTCCTCTAGGCATAAAATATCTTACACCTTAGACGTATTATTCTCAAAATTGTAGATTCAATGGGGAAGCAGAGCAGTCAAAATTTCACCACACAGCTAGCTTGGAACATTTCTTGGAAACTTCACAGAATGGCAAACATTCTATAGCTTCTAAACATAGTATTTACAGTGCTAGAAGCTGGCACTCTTGTCTCGTATTTAGAAACAATTATTCAGTCATTTTCACCTAATCAAAGATGCACAATTGGGAAGATGATCAATCCAGTTGTTTTATTCACATTAAAACGAGTTAATGAATAACTTTAGAATGCTGACAGGAGCTATATCAGTTAGTTTTGAGTGACATTCAGTAAAAGGAAGACAAGTGAATTTTTTTTATCTTTTTAATTTTGTGAGTTTGAAACAAGATTGCGTGCATTTTCTAAGAGCTAAAAAAAACATGTAGGGATATTATTTCTACTAGTTCAAACATTTTTTTCTTTTTTTTCTTGGTTTTCGCAAAAAAGGGTACTTACTATTTTTATTGTGCTTTGGTAGCCGCTGGTGCTGCAACTTGATGTCCCAGGTGGCATTCCTACAGCGATTCCCTATGACCTGAGTGAGTCCTGGGGCAGTTCGGTTATCCCGTGTGTGTTTAACCGTTCAGCGGTCGCGGCGGCGCTCAAGATCTTCGGCCAGTCGCGTCGGAGGGGTGCGATCACTTGGCAGTGGTTTGCCTCACGACGAGCAAGTTGGCGATGGTTCTGTCCTCCGCAGGAGAGTATAGCTTTGCAGCGCCGACTCACTTTGTCACTGGGGTGGTTAGGTGCACGCAAGTCACCTGGCGAACCAAGCACTCTATGTAACACCGACACACATTCACAAGGTGCCTGATCACGTCGCCGACATCAGCCAAACGCCTGCTTGAAGACGCAGTACGTTAGTAGGTACGGTAGCCTGTCTTCAAACCGAAGCTCGCGGAATGCGTCTACGACGAAGATGATGGACGGCCTTCTCAACAGCCGGAGACGCTCGAACCAAGATCAATCCATACCACCGTGATAGTGACGGCGGAAGCGCAATACGGCATCCAGGATCCCTCGCAGACGTAGAAGTGAACACGGCAGCCGAAGATCGAGCGTGAGGGACAGCCAGAGCAAGCAAGCACTACCGAAATTAACGAAAGAACTGCAAGTGAGAACTGTGCGAGCAAGCTGTCAGCTGTAGTGGCGGAGCGCGGGAGGCTCGGCTTACGGATCGGCTTATGACGACGTTAGGTTGGCTAATGGATTTCGCCCCACGCTTCGCTTTATTTTTTCGTCAGAAACTAGTGAGCGCAACTTTCTATCCCAGTTTTTCGTTATATTTTCTTGTCCCAGCAGACAACACACACAAAAACAAGTGTTTCGCCGTGTTAAAATTGTTCATTGACGAAAACGTGTTCTATGTGCACGAGACGAATTTGCGATCGCAATTGTAATAGACATCACTTAAATGTCATTTTAGCTGTCGTCTGGCAGGTCCCATCGGTCCCATCATGAATGTCATTTGAAAACCTGAATGTCATTTGGCGTAAATGCCATTTTAGCTGCCGTCTGACAGGGGTATTAGATTCCTAAAAACAACACGCCTGGACTTCTGCTTATAGAAGATGACCTTCATTGTTAGTGAATAGCGCAGTGTTAGTGTTCAAACTTTGTAGTTTTTTTTTTTTTTTTTAACTTTCTGTTCTTTCTTTTTTCTTTTATTCCTCACACCCGTCTCCCCCAAAACAAAGTAGCAAACCGGGACAAAATACCCCAGGTTAACTTCTTTGTCTTCCTTTCTGCCCTTTCTTCCTTCCAAATAACGGGACCGAGCATACTTCGAAGCGAGTAGGTTTTGTCGGCGGAATCATCGCGTTTTTGCGTTCTTCTCTGGAGAGCGGTGTAGACAAGTTCGCATCTTCAACACGGGAGGGAGCCACCTCACCGAGGGGGGCACGAGTATCGCGCAAGCGGCTTGGGACCGTTGACCAATGAGAGACACACACACAGCAAGCAGCGTTACCTGCCATGTCTAGGCAAGCTCGTCGAACTCGAACTCAGTATTCGGTCTTCTCAGTTGTATTAACTAGTCGTTAATAAACGCTTTCATAACATGGTGTCAGAAACTGAACACGAAAACGCTCGCACGTGAAGTCAAGACCGATGTGAGTCGCACGGCGCAAGAGTGAAGGCAAGCGAAGACCGGCAGCGCAGAAAATGGCGGAAGAAAGCGGCACCGCTACTACGCAGCAGTCGGGCGGGAGTTCGAACGTCCAACTTCCCATGCCGGGAGGGGTCTTCGCAAGTTTGCTGCCTCCTCCGAAGCCACTCGACATGTCCGGAGACCTGGAGACATCCTGGAGAACATGGTGGGACGAATTTAAGTTGTTCTCAACCGCCACTGCTCTGAAGTCGCAAGACGCCGAAGTACAGGCCGCGACGTTCCTAGTCGTCGTAGGGGAAGACGCCAGACGCGTCTACAAAACGTTTACGTTCGAAAACCCAGGTGACGAACTGCGAGTTGAGAAAATAGCGGAGCTTTTTGAAAAGCATTGCAAGCCTGCTATCAACGTGAGCTATAGGGACTTTGTATTCGGCACACGGAACCAGCATGACGGCGAACGATTCGATGACTGGCTTACCGAGCTGCGTACGCTGGCGAAGCAGTGCGATTTTGGCGAGCTACACGACCGCATGTTGCGAAGTCGAATCATTCTTGGAATGACCAACAAGCGACTGCAACAACGCCTCATCAACGACGATCCGACTTTGGAACAAGTGATTCAAAAGGGCCGCATGGAGGAACGTGGAGCCCTACAGTTCAAAGATATCCAAGCTGGAGCATCGCCTGCCGTTGTACATGGACTCAAGTCCGAGACATGCCCTCAATGTGGATACTCTACGCACACAAGCGGAACATGTCCTGCCAAAGGTACGAAGTGTAAAAACTGTGGTCGGAGGAGACATTTTGCTCGAGTGTGTCGCGCGAAGAACGACCCACCGAAAAATAGAGCGTCACCACGGAAGAATGTTCGCAATGTTGAACAATGCAAATCTCCAAGTTCCAGCTGCGAAGAAGAGAAGTTGGTTTGTGGTCTATCCAACAGTGTTGGTGATGAACAGTTCTGGAGAGCTGAAGTCAGAGTTGCAGGAAAGGCAGTTGACTGCAGGGTGGACACAGGAGCAAACTATTCTCTTATGTCTGCAACGCAACTGCGACGAGTCACGAACCAGAAACCGCAAGCAGTCACTACGAAAATAGGTTCGTTCTTTGGCCATGTCAGCAAAGCGGAAGGCCGCATTATGCTGCCAGTCGCCCATGGCAACCAGAGTACCGACGTACAGTTCTACATCGTGAAACGGGAAGTACCCACAACGATAAGCGGTACCATTGCGGAACGACTGAACCTGATCAAGCGAGTGGCGTCAGCGGAAAAGCACTGCAACCAGACTGTAAAAGAACACGAGGACGTCTTCCACGGACTTGGTGAAATCAAGGGTGTCAAGTATCACATGAAGCTCAAGCCAGATGCTCAGGGTGTTACGCAACAGCCACGTACAGTCCCAGTAGCCATCCGAGACCAGCTGAAAAGCCACCTAGATGACCTCGTGCTACAGAAGGTGATTGCACAAGTGACAGAACCAACAGAGTGGGTCCACCCAATCGTGGTTGTGAAAAAGAAGGACAAACTCCGACTGTGCATAGATCCACAAGAGCTCAACAAGCTTCTCATGCGAGAAAACTACTGTATGCCTACACTGGAGGACATAGCAGCACGACTGGAGGGAGCCAAGTTCTTCTCGACGCTCGACGCAGCCACGGGGTTTTGGCAGATCAAGCGAGACACACCGAGTTCGTACCTCTGCACATTTGCAACACCGTTCGGGAGATACAGATTTCTCCGAATGCCTTTTGGCATATCGTCAGCTCCCGAGGTGTTCCAGAAGACTATGCATGTGGTGTTTGAAGGTCTCGACGGAGTTGAAATCATGGTCGACGACATTCTTATCTGGGGAAGGACAGAAGTGGAGCATGACCGTCGACTGCAAGCCGTGCTGCAGAGGTGTCGTGAGGTCAACCTCAGACTGAACAAAGAGAAATGCAAGTTCTCTCAAAGCCAGGTGAAGTACTTGGGACATATCTTGTCACCTGAGGGACTCTCGATTGACCCGACGAGAGTACAAGACATCCTTGCGCTCCCAAGACCATCAAATGTGGGGGAACTGAAGAGCTTCCTAGGAGTCGTGAACTACCTTGGCAAGTTCATCCCGCACATGTCCGACACAAGTGCACCGTTAAGGCAACTCTTGAAGAAAGAGGCGGCCTGGTCCTGGACAGAGGAGCACGATAAAAGCTTCACAGCACTTCGAACAGCATTGACTGTTGCACCAACTCTGCGGTTCTACGACAAGAACAAACCAGTAACTCTGTCAGTGGATGCAAGTTCCAGAGGAACGGGTGCAGTGTTGCTTCAGGAGTGTCAGCCAGTAGCCTACTCATCGAGGTCGTTAAATGACGCCCAAAAGAACTATGCACAGATCGAGAAGGAGCTGTTGGCGATTGTCCATGGATGCAGCCGATTTCACGACTACATTTTCGGGCAAACCGTTACCGTGGAGTCGGACCACAAGCCACTAGAGGCGATCTTCAGAAAACCTCTGAATCAATGTCCTCTCAGATTACAAAGGATGAGACTGACCCTACAAAAATATGACCTGCTGGTGAAGTACACTCCTGGTAAAGAGCTGTACATTGCAGACACGCTGTCAAGAAACCCTTCGAAGGAGGAAGAGTCGGAAGTCTTCGAGGTGAATGTCTTGGAGTGTCTCCCTGTAAGAGATGAAACACTGGAAGAATGTCGTCAAGCAATCAGCAGGGACAAGGATCTGAGTACCATGCTGCAGTATGCAAAGAGCCAGTGGCCGAGCAACAAAGAAGACATTCCAGGCCCGTTAAAGACATATTGGCCGTACAGGGATGAAATCCATGAGGAGGAGGGCTTACTCTTCAGGTCGAATAGACTCGTCATTCCAGAAGAAATGAAGAGCAGCATCTTGGCAAGGCTTCACAAAGCTCACAGCGGAGTAGAGAAGACGCTCCATCGTGCTAAAGAAGCTCTCAACTGGCCTGCAATGCAGAATGACATCAAGCAGGTGGTAGAAAATTGCAGTGTGTGCAAGGAACACAAGCCGAGGCAACAGAAGGAGCCACTGGTGAACCATCCAGTGCCAACCGCACCCTGGCAGATTGTTGGAGTGGACTTGTTTCAGCACTCGGGACACCACTACATTGTGTTGGTGGACTATTACTCTTTTTTCTATGAAGTGCACCAGCTTCAAAGGTCCACTGCCAAGACAATAATCAAATGTTGCCTGGCAACGTTTGCTGTGCATGGTCTACCTGTCAGGTTGGTTACTGACAATGGACCACCATTCAACAGCGCTGACTTCAAAGAGTTCTTGCAGCACCGAGGAATTTCACATGTGACATCCAGCCCGTATTATCCTCAGTCAAACGGGATGGCAGAGAGGGCGGTGCAGGAGTCGAAAAAACTCATGACCAAGTGCAGTTACGGAACGCCAGACTATTACGACGCCCTACTCGAATGGCGAAACATTCCCAGGGATGGAGTTCTAGGATCACCAGTTGAAAGGCTCATGAACAGACATACTAGGACGGAAATCCCTACACATCCATCTCTACTGCGAGGGACGAGCACAGGCCCAAGCAAGGTACAACAGCGGCTGAGAGAAACAACAAACTCAGCAACGGTACTACAACAAAGGCGCCAAACCTCTACCCGAATTACACGCGGGAGAAGACGTCTACCTTCAAGATCAAGAACGAGGAACCTGGAAACCGGCTGTCATACTCGCTAGAGCCCCGCAGCCAAGGTCATACATTGTTCAAGACGACGAGGGCATACAGCGCAGAAGGAATAGCATCGCTCTTCGCAGGAGCCAGAGAGCGAAACAAAAACCAGCCCGCTACCGCGACACAAATTTTATTTGTGAGTGAAAAAGGGAGATGTAGGCAAGTTCGCATCTTCAACACGGGAGGGAGCCACCTCACCGAGGGGGGCACGAGTATCGCGCAAGCGGCTTGGGACCGTTGACCAATGAGAGACACACACACAGCAAGCAGCGTTACCTGCCATGTCTAGGCAAGCTCGTCGAACTCGAACTCAGTACTCGGTCTCCTCAGTTGTATTAACTAGTCGTTAATAAACGCTTTCATAACAAGCGGAAACATCAACATCACCCATAAAATTATCCTTCTCCATATCAGTTTAGCCCGCTTTATCCTTCCGACATTTCTTCCACTTCATTCTTTCAAGATCATCTGATGGGCTAGTTAGTTGAACACCTAGCTGATTGTTGATTGTTTTAGTCAAATTCATCAAGGATTGTGGTTTTCAATGGACCCTCTTCAAAGTGCATCTAGTCACATTGCTCCTCGTGGACGCGATCACAAACGTTTTGGACATCAGTGCTGGGTCGGTGTTTGGTGTGAACTCGAGTCCAATCACATGATTCTCGCTAGCAGCGGAAAGCTTTTGATGGGGGTTCTGCGAAGGCTCCTTCTAAAATGGTCAAAATTAAGTTTTCACATCTATAATTCCCGAGAGGAAAAGAGCCACACAAGGATACAACCAGTATTACTACTCTTAATTAAAGAGGTGCTAGAAGCGCTGTGTAGGTTCGTTAGAGTGCCTTCCTACACACGCGCTGGTGTGATGACATCTAAGCCATTTTTCCTCTCGGTCGTTTTTGTTTTTGGAAGGTGCACGCGCTCTTGCATCTCTCGGCACAAGCGACGAGCTTGGCTCAGTGCTTTGAAGCCATTTTTTACTCAAGTTTATTTATATGTTTGCTTCGGCGCGCGCTGGTCACACGCGGCGTCAAAATGTTGTCTTCACCCTAACACAGACAGACGTCGAGGCACCATATTCTTATTGACACGCTGACGCAGAAGCTCCATCTCCAGCACGCGTTTGTTGCTTTCTGTCGAGTTCGGTTGCTCATGCATGCCTGTGGCACGGCCACTCGATCCCCCCTGTTGGTGCGGCCTGCCGATATTTTTCCGAAAACAAAAGAGCGCGCGTGAGAGAACTTCTCCCATTTTCCGTGGGGGCGCTGCACATCGGTGAGCGGTCTTGTGAGCTGAAAGTACTCTGTTTCACCTTATGTTGTACCGCAGGAAAGGCTGTAAGCGCGAGCTCCTTGCTCTATGGCAGATCTCGGCGGCACAAGCTCTCGTGCAGTAAGGGCAGCTGTCAACGCTATGAGCTCGCGCTTCCAGCCTTCGCTGCGGTACAACTTAAGCTGAAACGGAGTATAGAGAAGGCGCCCAACGCGCTCTTGCTCCGCTACCCAGATAAAATATCTGCCTGTCATTGGCTTCGCCGATACCGAGGCGCTGCCGCGGTTGCAGAAGGCAGCAAAACTCGCTTTCCCCCCACCTATGCACCGCTGTGCTCGACGAAAATATCGTAGTGTCACTCTGCGCTCGCGTGTGTGGTTTGTGTTGCCATTTTGGAAGCTGTCGGAAACATAAATGCGTGTTCTAGTTCTGAGTGCCAGACGGCGATGAAATGTGCCAACTCCACTCGTGAAACAGGAAATCCTGCAGTTGATGAAGTACAATGAAGTCTCTTCCGAACTTCAGTTCGCACCGCTGACTTACAGTGCTGGCTACTTGGCCCTCGATTGCGAACAAAAGGTGACCATTTTTATTTGTAGAAATTGTCATAATTTCAAAGTAATTAGCTGACACATTCAACCTAGCAAAGCAATAAGAATTTCTCTGTGAAAGCAAGGAAGGCTAATGTGTAGAACCCGCTAAGCTTTGCAGGTGACGTGTCCTGAATGCAAGCTCAACTTAAGGGAAATGCATCGCATGACGGAGCATACCAGTCCATATTTAGCCTTGACCAAGGAGGACTCAGCTATCCACGACCTCAAGCTGTCTGGCTGTGCAAGCTCGTCTGCACCTTTGTCGAGAGGGCTAGTCGGCAGAGATTCGTGGTTGTGGAAGGTTTTGCAAGGACCTCTCGAGCGCTGTGCTTCCACACCTTATGGACTGCCCGCTGATGTGGTGTGTTAAATGCCGAGACCCCTACCACAGCAAAGAGCTCTGCGAGCTCTTTCTCAGAAAGCTCCTCAGGCCTTTTTTTGGTAAACTAAGCTGGTGACCTAAACAGCCCACTAGAGAATATATTGAGGCATTCGCGGAAGCTTCTTTCCCGAAAGGTACTCCGCTTCTGAACTATATGACTGCCTTGGTCTGTTTTTTTGTGAACAAAGAAGTTTATATCGCTAAAATTATGCACGCGGAATCCGATTTTATATTGTCCTTCACAGATGAATAAATGGCACAGCTCGCGAGTGCTCGAGCGTCGGTTAAAACCGGAAATCATACGGCCTAGCTATATCCAACTATAACTCCTATATTACAGTGGTAATAGAAACGGGGCAACAGTTACGGGAACAAGAAAACGGCAATTCGCTAATACTGCCAGCAGAATGCAGCTTTAACGCGCAGCCTGTAGCTGAGTGAGCTTTTCGCAGAAAGAGTCATGTGCTTTTATTCTACACAGATTTGTCACATCATTCATGCAATCGGGCACTCGTTTCAATTGAGACTTGCGGCTTCACGAAAAAAAAACACCTAAATAGCCACGCCGGGCAGGGCCGGGCGTACTGCTCCTCTCTCACTATATTTCGTCTTACCTTAGCATGGACTAACCGCGAACGCTGTGCTAGCGCGAGCGGCTAGCCTTTACTGCCATGACTGGAGCACTCGCTGCACGAGCGCTCATGCAGCCGCCGAGGCTTCCTTCGAAGCAACTATCTCGCGCTTTTAGCACGCGCAGCTAACAAGTACATACTAACGTGAAACGAAATATAAAGTTCCTCGATATGCTCCCCCGAAAGGAAGTCTATCTCTCACTAAAGCCCCTCGATATGTTTTCGTTCCTCTTTGCAAGTAGCGCCAAATGCGCGAGCGCACGTGGCCCAGGTCTCGAGCGGCACTTGGAAGCAAATGGCGGCGCAGCACTGAAATGAGCGGCCCTTGGAAGCGAATGGCGGCGGAGCACCCGCTCGTGGCACGTGTCTTGCGAAACCTCAGTCAGAGGTTTCTGCTGGGGGAGTTTTGTCGAAAAATGTTAAATTTTTCACCCGCACACGGATGGTGATAGACATCTCGGGGGCCGCTGTTGCGTTTGTTCTGAGCATTTCTTTACACACTGGTATATTTCAGCGTTTGTGCGGCAACAGAGGGATTTAAAACCTGCAAATAAATCACGGGTTGTCAATTGCTTCCTTCGGGAAATAGCAGACGCTCACAATTCAAGCTCGCGTTTGATTTCATGGCCCGCGGGACGCGATATCTATGAGCAAATCTACTTTTTTTTCCCCGTTCGGTTCCGCGACACATCGTAGCAGACGAACCCTTGTCGTCTGCTCCCGCTCCTCGCCGGCCCCACCGGAGCGAGGCATGACGGGATTGCATTTTGGCGCACTCCCGATTTTCTCGGTGCAGCGAGTGCATGCACACGTGGGGTGTCAGCGCTGAAACGAACTCGGAGAGTGCAACCACTCGTGGAGTGCCGGCCGAAACGAACCCGTTCCACGCTGCGAGTGGGCACGCGTGGGCACGAGTGCCGTGAAACGAACTCGCTATAAAACCCTCTATTCTTCAGATAGTTCAATCAGACGCCGCAGGGACTGTCAGAAACGGCAAATGCCGTGGCGGCGTTAAAGGGGTCATGAAACGCTTTTCCAACTTTTTCCTGTTTAGCTTTCCTCCTCAACTCATAAATCGCGCATTCCACCAAAAGAGTTAAACAAGACGAAAAAGGGGAGACCCCTCTTTCTCGCACTGTCGTTTGTGTAATCCGGACACATCCATTCTCCCCCTAGAAGATTAGCCCGTCGCGCAAAATTCAGACAAAAGTTGCTTTCCCCACCGCGTTCATTCCGAAGCTGACAGTGCTGTTGAAGCTACGTAATCGTTGGGCCAGCCACACTTGCCACGTGAGCGTGGCAAATGTGGCTGCAGAGAATGAAGTCAGGTGATGAAAGGGAGGCGGCTGATTGGTCCGGCAAGCGTGTAGCTTCCACCACAATGTCAGCTTAGGGGTGAAGGGAATAAGTGAGGTCCGGTTGCGTGTGACGTCAGTTTGGACCCGATGATGCGCTTTTGGGACCGCGGACAACAATGGTTGGCGGTACTTGTAAAAACACCTTTATCAAGGGGCTTTATCTCTCACCGATAACGAGCGCCACATCTGGCGCTGCGGGGTAAAGTAGAACTATCGCTCTCACCGGCGGAGTGGGGCATACGGCAGGCCGCTCCCAAGGGGAGTCCTAATCGAGTGGCCGTGCCTGTGTTATCAGCCATACAAACTCCACTCAAGAGGCTGAGCTTCTTTTGCAATATTTACCTGTCGCCGACCATAGGTGGTATACATTTGGCGTCACAAGACACCCTATTTGTTGCGCGCTGTTTACAGTGCGCGCTCAGAGCGAGCCCCTTCTTCAGACGACTATCTCAATGGGATTCAGGAAGCATTGTACAAGCTCCGTATTAGAACGCAGTCAGCAACTTATGCCTCAACTATGGCCGCCAGTGCATACTGAAACATTTCGGGCCTTAAGCCTGGTTCAGACAGTTGTGTTTGGCTGCGTTTGACTGCGTTGCGGCAGCGAAAAACCAGGACATCCGTGCTGCTAATATGGCGTACCAAGATGATTCCTTGAATTGGAGTCCACGCTTCATACAAAGCACAGATGTGCCGGTGACTCGCTTTCGGTTGTCGACGCAACGCAGTCAAACGCACCCAAACGCAAGCGTCTGAACCGGCGCGCATTCACACTGGAAGCGGATCCGCGTTCGCGAAGCGGTCCCGAATGCGGTTCGCGAGCGACCCCGTTCAGACACACCAAGAGGCGGTTGGCGGCTTCTCGGCGATCACGTGTGATCTTTTGAGACTTGCGTTTGGCAACCCTGTTTTACAATCCAAAAGCCACTTTAATTCAAGATCCAAAGCCAAAGTTTTGCTATTTCGGCACTTGGAATAATTTTCTCCGGGATGTTCGCGCGCATCACGATTTCAAGGAGCGAAAAAAGAAGCATGGACCCGCCAAACTCGCCTGTGATTCCCTCGACTTCGCCCACAAGCAAAGCCCAGCTAGGCGCGCCTTGCTGACTCAGAACAGGATGTCCCCGACCTTTTCTTCGAAGTGGACCCTTCCCGCATGAATAGCTGACCTTTTTTTCGGGATAGAGGGCCAGTTTTTCCCCCTCGTTGTTGTTCGCTTTTATCATTTTCTAAGTTGTGAGCGGTGGGGTGGACTGTGGTCCGGGGGAATGTGTTCGGTGCTAGTCGGTCGTGGCTTCGTTGGTGGCGGACTCTCCTCTCATCACTCGCTCGTCGATCGAGTCTACTGTTTGTTTGACATTAAGCTCAAATAAACGTCGTATGGATTAACCCTGCATTGTCTGGTACGTACACTTTATTCCTTGAGTAGCTTCCCTTTATTAATTTTATTAGTAGTAAACGTTACAGGTCGAGCTAGCGGTACCCTGCCCCCTCCGTGGTAGTGCGTTGGCTACGCAATCAAGCTGATGACGTTCGATCAGTGCATGAAAGAGCACCAGGAACATAATGGCACTGTTGCTCACTGGGGTCCACTGGGGTCAAAGAATCATGCTCCAAGGAGGTAGTCCAGCCGAAGTAGAAGCTGCTGCCTCCGAGGAACCGAGGCCCAGGGCTCAGATTGAGACACCGCCGTCGCCCGGTGTGTTATCCTCTCAACGTCGTCGTCATCTCGCATAGAAAAATCGAGCCCACTGGCTTAGACAAGGCAGCACCTGTTCCCACCGTTCAGGGGCCGTGAAAAGATTGCGGCCAGCGATTTCTTGAAGGAGCCAGAGGTTCTGGACCACCGTGAAACGTTTCCTGGAGGACGCCTTTTCAAACAAAGTCTGCGCAGCTTCTTAGTGCAGCGAGGTTCATAAGGGTCAAGCGCGCTCCCAAGCATGATTTCAAATAGCGAGCACCCACCTTTCCAGAAAAGCACCGTCTAGTGAACCTTTACTGAGAGTGGAACGTACTTCTTAAAATGGCGACGATAGCGGAGCTGACGCTCCACGCTCAAATCCCAGAGCGGGTCGCGCATTCGCGATGGCGACTCCTCTTTCCATAGAGCGGAGCGGGAAACCGAAAACGGTTTACTAATAGCGGGTTCGTTTCACACGCACTGGCACCGTTCGAGTTCTCTCCCAGAATGCATCGCACTCACAGAGTGTTGCACGGAAAACTGGACTCAAACGAGCTCGCCAAAATGCACCGAGTGCAGAAGACTGACGCTGCCGCCATCTATGTTGTAGAAAAGGTACCGACTTCAAACCGAAACTAGCGCCTTTCTGTTCGGAGTGATACGTGGGAATGCGAGAATGCAGTCGCTACCAACGTTTATCTACAAACGTTGGTCGCTGCAACCTGTAGTTTATAGTTGCGATGACTTCAAGCAGCTAGGCTGCCGTAGAGATAATTACAGACGGCGTAAATTTCCGCAACCAGCTGTCTACAAAGCAGCTGGTTGCGATCTTTCAATTCTTATAACCGTTTACACTGAAGAAAACTGATGATGCTGTCCGAGCAGAAGCTTGATCCGTTTGAGCATGGTATTATTCGTGAACCACTGAAAGGGTACGGCTTAAAACTATCCTGTTGGAATATCCAGCAAAACTGGGACTTCCGATTTGGATCGTCAGGATTAGATATTAGCCTTGGCGAGGGCGTCGAGAATGAGAGCTTTCTCGAACAAAATACGACGGGGTAAGTTAGCTGACGTAGGTAAATGTTAAACATGATGATGTTGCCCAATCCTCAGATAAAGTCTCCATCTTTAGCTTTCTCTGATGCTCATTGGGCAGTCAGAGGTTTCTGCTGGGGGAGTTTTGTCGAAAAATGTTAAATTTTTCACCCGCACACGGATGGTGATAGACATCTCGGGGGCCGCTGTTGCGTTTGTTCTGAGCATTTCTTTACACACTGGTATATTTCAGCGTTTGTGCGGCAACAGAGGGATTTAAAACCTGCAAATAAATCACGGGTTGTCAATTGCTTCCTTCGGGAAATAGCAGACGCTCACAATTCAAGCTCGCGTTTGATTTCATGGCCCGCGGGACGCGATATCTATGAGCAAATCTACTTTTTTTTCCCCGTTCGGTTCCGCGACACATCGTAGCAGACGAACCCTTGTCGTCTGCTCCCGCTCCTCGCCGGCCCCACCGGAGCGAGGCATGACGGGATTGCATTTTGGCGCACTCCCGATTTTCTCGGTGCAGCGAGTGCATGCACACGTGGGGTGTCAGCGCTGAAACGAACTCGGAGAGTGCAACCACTCGTGGAGTGCCGGCCGAAACGAACCCGTTCCACGCTGCGAGTGGGCACGCGTGGGCACGAGTGCCGTGAAACGAACTCGCTATAAAACCCTCTATTCTTCAGATAGTTCAATCAGACGCCGCAGGGACTGTCAGAAACGGCAAATGCCGTGGCGGCGTTAAAGGGGTCATGAAACGCTTTTCCAACTTTTTCCTGTTTAGCTTTCCTCCTCAACTCATAAATCGCGCATTCCACCAAAAGAGTTAAACAAGACGAAAAAGGGGAGACCCCTCTTTCTCGCACTGTCGTTTGTGTAATCCGGACACATCCATTCTCCCCCTAGAAGATTAGCCCGTCGCGCAAAATTCAGACAAAAGTTGCTTTCCCCACCGCGTTCATTCCGAAGCTGACAGTGCTGTTGAAGCTACGTAATCGTTGGGCCAGCCACACTTGCCACGTGAGCGTGGCAAATGTGGCTGCAGAGAATGAAGTCAGGTGATGAAAGGGAGGCGGCTGATTGGTCCGGCAAGCGTGTAGCTTCCACCACAATGTCAGCTTAGGGGTGAAGGGAATAAGTGAGGTCCGGTTGCGTGTGACGTCAGTTTGGACCCGATGATGCGCTTTTGGGACCGCGGATGTATCACAGTGAAAAGGCAGAGAGGTCGCGAAGGGGAGGAGGTACGAAATAGTCCGCTCTGTTTTCAAATTCTCGCACTGAAAGTCAGGCTTTTGACTTTCTACCTTTTTTGTTTTGGTCCACTGAACAATGTGCTATTAGTAAAATCCCAATCTAAAATGATTTATCCCAACCCAAAAATCGTTTCATGGGCCCTTTAAGTTTGAGGCGCACTGTGCAACTGTGATAGAAATGCTTGAGGCTGTCTTTTGATTGAATGATTTTATGAAACCGATCAATTTCAGAAACTGAAGAGATCCAACTTATAGCTGGACGAGCCAGGGAACGGCCAATCCTACCACGATGGCTGCCAAGTCCTCTCAGGCGCACAAACAGGTATTTGTCAGACTTTGTTTGGGTCTCAAAGTTTATTTATACACTGATTAATGTATTTAAGAAAAACCTCCCTAATTTTCCCGCATTTCCCGGTATCGGTTTTCCGGCACAGAAGAAAGAGACACATCAACAATCAAAGCGTCGGCGAGATGTGGAGCTCCTGGAACAAATCCAGTGTGACAGTGGAGGGAGTGTGTCACAGAAGCAGTACGCAGAAGTATTACGAAAGCTGCGCAAGAAGACTGAAGCTTTGGAGCAGTGCCAGCTGCTCAATGTGCAGCTGCAGAAGGCACTTTGTGCAAATATAAAAAAAGCAGGCAAGTTTGTTATTTAGCTTTTATACTGATTACTTACTACACGGCACATTAAAGCGATTTTTTTATAGAGAACCTGAAGTACAGGCTTTCGTGCTGTTCTTTAAGTATAGCTGAAAAAATCTGTACTTGCTAATACATACCTTAAATTTAGGTCGAAGGTATATTTTAGTGGTGCATGTTCTCGTGACAAACTTCAATGCGTGGTTCCATCTCCGCAAGGAGTAAGAACACAATATCTGAAACTTTCGATGGCAAATGCTGATGCAGACAAAGAAGGAGCAGCGAGCGCCATGCTTTTTGCTAACAAGAAATGGTGCAACGCGGTTCCTCCGCGGGAGGGCTCTTGTCCCAACAGATTTCGTCTGCGTGTCGTCTGCTTTATTTTGTTGGCCGGTTACTTTTCCCCTTTATTTCTGTCATTGATGCACGTTTATATTTAGTTTGTAATTACATGGCCTGCTAGTTTGTACCCTGTTGAAATGGGTCTCTTGTAGTGTAATTCCCAGGCTTGCTTCCTTCTCTCTGCTTTTTGGTCGGCCTAACGGCCTTTGGAGTTAAAGGGATGGCGAACTGTAATTTGGATTTCAAACAAAAAGGCTAAAAAGAAACAATGCTGGGGGTGTAGGCGGGACGCTATATACAATCCCTACAACACTACTAGTGAGGCGCTATCTTAAATGGACGGCCGTATTTTTGGAAAAAGAAGTGGAGATTGAACGAGGCCGACGAGGCGCGTGATCGTCAAGATACCTAGTTTCCTCCTCTCTTCTCTTCGCTCCCTCAAGGCCGCGAGGCGGAGAATACGCGAGGCCGTTCCCTCTCCTTCTCGGAGAAACATGACGTCAACATTCCTGCCAAATGCTCCTCTTTTCTTGAAACATACGGTCATCCGTTCGAGATATCGCTGTATGAGTGATGTTTTGGTGTTTGTAGCATCCCGCTGCACGCTTTTGTCGTGTGTTTTGGGGAATCCAGATTTCGGTTCAGCATTCCTTTAAAGGCCGACCTAAAAACAAAGAAAGAAACTGGCCCTCAATTTCTGCTTTCTACCCAAAAAAGAAGGAGAGGTTAACTTCCAGACCCGCTGCTTTGGAAGAGCATCTGAAAAACATAGAAAGGCAGGAAGATAGGTCTCGTTCCTATAGGAGTTATCATTAGTAACAGATGACCTCAGAAACCATTTTAGGGCACCTTTGAGAGGTTAAGGGTCAACGCTTCTGCCGGAGAGAAGACTCCCTATGTTTTTCAGATGCTCTTCCAAAGCAGCGGGTCTGGAAGTTAACCTCTCCTTCTTTTTTGGGTAGAAAGCAGAAATTGAGGGCCAGTTTCTTTCTTTGTTTTTAGGTCGGCCTTTAAAGGAATGCTGAACCGAAATCTCTCCGGCAGAAGCGTTGACCCTTAACCTCTCAAAGGTGCCCTAAAATGGTTTCTGAGGTCATCTGTTACTAATGATAACTCCTATAGGAACGAGACCTATCTTCCTGCCTTTCTATTTTTATCGCAAACGCAAGAAGCGTATTCTCTAAACAGGAAGAGTTGCAATCAGCTGTCGATTCATGTTCGGCTGATATCGTGGTTATAACGGAATCTTGGTTGACTCAAACATTGATAATTCTGAACTACTTTTGAGTGATTCGTATTCAATCTTTCGCAGAGACAGAATGGGACGTAGGGGAGGAGGCGTCTTTATAGCGGTTAAAAATACACTACATGTTCAAAAAAGCAAAGTATTACATGATTGTGAAGCATTGTGGGTTCGAATAAAAATGTCCTCGTTCTTTGCACTGGTCATTGCCTGTTACAGGCCGCCCAATCTTCTTGGATTCCCATCCTTTCTATAAAAAAGTTTGGAATCACTCGCGCAGATGTATCCCACAGACGTATTTATACTCACTGGAGACTTTAACTACCCTGAAATCCCATGGCCTGTTGTACCTGCTCGCATGCCGTTTGACTCGTGGCGCTGCCTTCCCGCTCAGGCCCGAGGTTTTGTTGACTTGTGCAGCGCGTACTCACTGTCCCAAATGATTAATGAACCAACTCGCGCTTCTGCAATTCTCGACCTCTTTCTTACTACCAACCCTGAGTGTGTCACAGCTGTCGAACTCCTAGAGCCTCTTAGTGATCACTCTTCTATTCACGTCCAACTGTCAATACCCACCAGTAAGTCGTGCCCTTTAACTAACACTGTGTTCAGCTATCCACGAGCCGACCAGAATGCTCTCCTCCTGCATCTATACCGTTTCATGCATACCTTCCTGGATGGCTTTCAGTATAGAAATGTTGACGAAAATTGGACCCTGGTCAGGAGCGCGTTAATGGAAGCCTTGCATACATTTGTTCCGAGAGTTCATATCAGGTCATGTACTGAACGTCCTTGGTTCTCCGTCAGTCTCAAACGGCTCCTGAGCAAAAAGCAAAGGCTCTACAGCCGCGCAAAACAAATTAGAACCCCATCAGCGTGGTCTAAATACCGAGAATGCGCTCCGAGATTTAAGTACGAAATTAAGAAGGCTAAGCATAAGTTCTTTAATATCGACCTCTCTAATTTGCTGAAAACAAACCCCTAAAAATTCTGGTCAACTTTAAAACCCAAGCAAATTAGACCATCCCCCCGCATTGTTGACTCAGACGGAAATGAACTCTCGGAAAGAGAAAGCTGCGAGAGCCTCAACTCTTATTTTGGCGACGTCTTCACTGAAGAGTCTTTCCCATTACCCGACCACATCCCTCAATATACAACCGTAGCCAGTATGGACTTTATTTCTATTACCCCGCCTGGCATCAAGAAACTGATCGACAACCTTCCCAATAATTCTGCCCCAGGCCCGGACGATATATCAACTAAACTGCTCAAATTAACCACATCAGTTTCTAGTATTCTTTTATGTAGAATATTCCAACAGTCTATTGACTCCGGTGACATACCCCTTGACTGGAAGTAGTAGTAGTAGCAGATTGGGGTTTTGTGGCACAAAAGCAACTAAGGCTATGATGCGCCAAGAAATGATACTATTGCAGAAGAGGGTTTTGAAGAAAAAAGAGCTTTAGTAGCTGGTAATTTCAAAAATGTAAAAAATAGGACTAGGACCTTATATTATATATAATGCTACAATTTGTGTAAAAGATCAATACTTTTTAAAAACTTAAAAACCTGGGTGGGTGGGAGTAGTGGCTCATTTCCAAGCAGCACACATAGGTGTAGAGGAATATGCTCTTTGTAGAGCTGGGAGAAGTAATGGCGGCGTTTATCATCATGCGCAGGGCATTCGAGAAGGATATGCAAGACACTCAAAGGTTGTTGGCAATGCTCACATTCCGGAGGGTCCTCCCCACGCAAAAGGTGTCCATGCGTCAGCCGCGTGTGCCCAATGCGTAGGCGACAGAGGACTACCTCATAGAACCTGTCTCTGTGCCTAGCACTCTCCCATTCGCCAAGAAAAGGCTTAACCATGTGCAGCTTGTTGGACACCTGTAGGCTCCATTCTGTTTGCCATTGAGCTTTAAGATGACATTTGACTAGGGCACAGTAATCTCTAAATGGGATACCACTAATATCCACAGTACGAGTGCCACAAGTGCCCGCAGCACAATCTACCTCTTCATTCCCTGGGATTCCGACATGGCTCGGCACCCAGCAGAATAGAACATCACATCCCTTACTGGTAGCTGCTACTATTTTGCTTTGTAATAAAACAATGAGTGCATTCTTTGGGGTTTCAAGTGAAATCAGAGCCCGTAACGCACTCAACGAATCTGTATATACAACTGACCGGGAGTTACGTGTTTGGATGATGTGATCTATTGCAAGCAGAAGGCCGCACAGTTCAGCAGTGAAAACTGTCGCGAACGAATTTAGCCTACGAGCACTTCTTACTGATGGGCCGATCATGGCACAGCCAACAAATGATTCCGTTTTTGTGCCGTCTGTATAATAGTGTGAATGAGAATCATGCTGCTTCTGGAGTTCGTAAAATTCTTGTCGCATGACCTCGGATGGGGTATCCTTTTTATTAAACTTTGTTAGTGACAAGTCGCAACGTATGCAGCTGAAATCCCATGGTGCCACCGTTTTTGGAACTGCGGCAACTGGAAGCTTACTGTCTATCCCAACTGACTCTGCCACATTTCTATTTCTCATCGCGAATGGAGGGATAATGCTAGGCTTGTTTTCGAATGTCCTTTGATATTTCGTGCCCTCCACTGCCTCCCGGGCTGGATGCTGAGCGACTGATCGTATCCTTAATGAATACATAAATCCTAAGGAGAATCGCCGTCTGTCGAGGGTGATCTCATTTCCCTCAGCGTAGAGACTGAGCACAGGCGACGTTCTGAAGGCACCTATTGCCAAGCGAAGTCCCTGATGATGGATGGGATCAAGTGCCTTAAGAGCTGATGGCCTAGCAGATCCGTACACAAAGCTGCCATAGTCCAGGCGTGAGCGGATTACCGAGCGATAGATTCGCAAAAGACATAGACGGTCAGAGCCCCATGTTTTGTGGGACAAGACTTTAAGGAGGTTCAGTGATTTCTGGCATTTTAACTTCAGACTTTTTATATGAGGCACAAACGAAAGCTTACGGTCGAAAGTGAGGCCCAGAAACTTGTGATCTACTTTCACCGGGATAGGGGTCTGTCGCATATATAGAGAAGGAACCGCAGGGACTCCCCGTATACGGGAGTAACAGACAGTAACCGTCTTTTCTGGAGAGAAACTAAAGCCGTTTTCATCCGCCCACTTTAGGAGATTGTTGATGGCAACTTGAAGCCTCCGTTCACAAATAGAAAGATTGCACGATGAAACAGAGATTTGAAGGTCATCAACATAGAGTGAGTATTGCACAGAGGAAGGTAGGGAACGGGCTATTGAGTTCATCTTTACCAAAAAGAGAGTAACGCTGAGGACTCCCCCTTGAGGGACCCCAGTCTCCTGGACGAATTCTTTAGAGAAAGATGCTCCTAGCTTCACCAAAAAGGTTCGATTAGAAAGGTAGCTATTGATGGTAGCAAGCATCCTACCTCGTATCCCAACTTCATGCAAATCACGGAGGATTCCATGGCGCCATGCT